AATCCTCTAAATCTTTCACTGCCCTTTCTCCTAGCCTTTGGTCTTGTCATCTGCCCATCTCCCTTCCCCCACCCTCTTCTGTCCAAATCTAACCTCTCCTAGAAGGCCCAACTGAAATCTCTCTTCCACCAGGCCTTGCCAACACTATCCAACTCACTTGACCAGTAATTGCAGGCTATCTTAACAGTATCTCTTGTGCAATTATTTTACTCTTGTATCATTGTTTAAAGTTTATGTATTAAAATCTTGCATGCCTGATTTGATTAAAAATTCCTTGAAAAGTCTAGTTTAGTACCTACATTCCTGTGTCCAGTATCAAATTTGACCTACAGCCAAGAACACAGTCTTGATTTGTCCAACTCTAATGCGTTTCCAACAATAAGAAGTTACCCCTCCAGTACTATGGAACCATCAACATTACTCACCACTTTACTTTGCATGTCTGTGTATTCCATTCCACAATATGTTTATCATCTGAACAACTATACAAACAGCCATTGTCTTGATGCCACTGTATGCAATTAACCTTGTTGTCATGTCCACCACTCTACAGATTAAAAAAAAAAAAAAAAAGATTAAAAGAAAAAAAACCGCGCCTGATATAACATAATTACGCATCCTAGAATCATTACTAACAGTTAACAAAAAAGATAGGCTTTAACCTAACTTAAAACACCCTAACCTATAGCTATCTATTTCCAACATCAAAAATGAGATAAATCATCTATAAATTCATCAAATGTTAACTTTCCCTTCTCTGTTGAAAAAATACACTTCCACATCGTAAGTCAAAGGATGCTAGTTCTAAATGCCACTTGCTTTTGACAGGAATGCCAGCACTGGGGCGCCTGGGTGGCTCAGTCGTTAAGCGTCTGCCTTCGGCTCAGGTCATGATCCCAGGGTCCTGGGATAGAGCCCCGTGTCTCGGGGCTCCCTGCTCCGAGGGGAGCGTGCTTCTCCCTCTCCCACTCCCCCTGCTTGTGTTCCCTCTCTCACTGTCTCTTTATCAAATAAATAAAATCTTTAAAAATGATTAATAAATAAATAAATAAATGTAGTGCCAGGTTTCACTCATATGTGGAATATAAGGAATAGTGCAGAGGACATAGGGGAAGGGAGGGAAAACTGAATGGGAAGAAATCAGAGAGGGAGAGAAAACATAAGAGACTCTTGACTCGGGGAAACAAACGTTGTGGGTGGGGGGGGCCAACTGGGTGATGTGATGAGCACTGGGTGTTATTATGCAACTAATGAATCACTGAACATTACATCAAAACTAATGACGTACTATAGTTGGCTAACTGAATTTAAATAAATAAATAAGTAAATAAATAAAGCGAGCTAGCAAGCCAGGGGCGCCTGGCTGACTCAGTCAACAGAGCACGTGACTCTTGATTTTGCGGTTGTTAAGTTCAAGCCCCACACTGGTTGTCAACTACTTAAAATCTTGGGGGGGAGAAAAAGGGAGTTCCAAGGAAAATTAGTAACAGTAACTATTGCAAAAAGCAGAAGAAAAACAAAACAAAACAAAAAAAACGGGGGTGGGGGTGCCTAATTGGGAATTTTCATACAAAGCCAAGGAATTAAATGTCTTCAGTAAAAGATCAGTAAATAGACATTACTGCACTAACCCAGAAGTCCTATCTATTTCAATAAAATCAGAGATTATCCCAATTTTTTTAAGAAGGTTATTTATAATTTGCCCAATCACAAAAATATTCAGACTGCTCTACCTCTAAACAAGCAAAAAGGAGTTTCTATTATATAATGCTCTTAAATTTTTCTCATAAAGATCTGTTTTTTAGGCAGGCTCAATTCTTCATTACAAGTCAAGGTAAATCTAATACTAAATACAATAGTTAAGTCTCACATTCATCATCTATATTAACTATACAAGTTGTGACACATTCTTTCAAGGCAATGCTACCTCCGGATCCAAAAGACTACATACCAGACATTGAGTAACCGGTCATGTACTGCTCCAGACAAGAAATAAAGACCAGTGATTCCATCAAAGGGTTGGCTCTCATTAGGAGGTCTGATAGTAGTGAAGATGAGTGACGAAACTGGCGTTGCATGGCCTGTGAAGTGCTAGAGAAAGTTAAATCTCATTTAGGAGAGGGAACAGAGCAGTAACAAAAATTAAAGAGTCCATCTGGACCATAAGCAATACATATGAGCCACATCTGAAATCAGAACTCCAGACTAAAGGTAACAGCTAAATTTAATTCTAAGCAACTGAGGCTATTTGTGCTATATATATTCCTCTCACTAAAACTCCCATCTGAAAATATTGAAAAATCAGGACGTCCTTCTAACTCCCAGGGCCCTACCCACAATCTTTCTTTCTTCCATTTTTTGCATTAAAGATCCACTTAATTCTATCCATGTTTAAAGGGGTGCCTGGGTGCTCAGACACAGCCAAGGAATTGTAGGTCCTCATTTTACTCTCAGTGAGTCGAAACCACAATTTTAGGGCATCATCACAGCACCAAAAGTACACCCCTGAGCACACTCAAAACGTAATACTACGTCTCCATAGTCAAATACTGTAAATGTACTAAATGCTGGATATAAGCTAGAAATCAAAACTACTATCATTCCACAGCAGAAAAGATTTTTAATTCAAATTCTACTTATTTGTTCTATTCGTTTTTCAAATGCATATGAAATGAACACATCTAACCTATTTAATATCAACAAACCAGGTTTGGAGGCTAACTTTTGTCTACTGATTCCACTATTTGATATGCCTGAAAATAACAAATCTGTATTCTTACAACAGTATGCTATGGCTGAGACTTTCTGCCCTTCTCCATCCTTACTCTAGATGACTGTTAGGCTTACAACTAATTTGATTCACTCACTCTGTAGATTTCTTTGGTCTCCAAAACCCACAGTTTGATTGTTCGACCAGCTGAAAGCAACATCTTTCCATCTGGGCTGATACACAGGGAGCTGACACTGCTATTGTCGCCTTTCCATTTGCTGTATTGTGAAGAGAAACAAAAATGCCTCAGTGAATAGGGAGAAAACTTTACTCAGAGCAAAAAGATAGCAAAAAGCAAATCAGGCATTAAAAATATCACTTAAGGGGCGCCTGGGTGGCTCAGTCGTTAAGCGTCTGCCTTCGGCTCAGGTCATGATCCCAGGGTTCTGGGATTGAGCCCCACATTGGGCTCTCTGCTCAGCGGGAAGCCTGCTTCTCCCTCTCCCCCTCCCCCTGCTTGTGTTCCCCTCTCGCTGTGTCTCTCTCTGCCAAATAAATAAATAAAATCTTAAAAAATAATAATAATAATAAAAATAAAAATAAAAATATCACTTAAGGTTCTATGCCACATTACATTCCTTAAAAGCCTCTGTCAGGTGACTAACCTTGGACACTAAGGTAAAGCCTGCCTGCCCAATAAAACAGATTCTCAAGAGGTTCCAGAAAATGGAAGAGTAAGAGTTTTAAGAATGTAAAATGGGTAGTGGTGTATCTTGTGATCTATGAAGTAGATTTTGTTAATGCCCAGGAAACTACCAGACTGGATACCAGGACCACCACAAGTCCATTCTATCCCTTTGGAAAGGCCTTCCAAAGCAGTTACAAACCAGAAATCATAACAGCAAAATAACCGGATTTAAATAAATAAAACTTCTGTACCACAAAATAAGTCACAAACTTAAAGGCAAAAGGCTAAGGGTACCTGGGTGGCTCAGTTAAGCATCTGCCTTC